AGTATGATCCAAAACCCAACTCTAAATCCGAGGTACAAATGAAAATTATTGTATCTGACGACGTTCCTATTTATCAAACTCCGCGCAGAGTTTCGTACATTGATCAAAAGGCAATAGATGACCAAGTCAGCAGTTGGCTGAAAGATGACATAGTCCAGCCGAGCATTTCTGAATACGCTTCACCAGTAGTTTTAGTCTCAAAAAAGGATGGTACAAAACGATTGTGTTGCGATTTCAGAAAGTTAAATGAAAAAATTGTTCGAGACAATTTTCCCACACCTCTTATTGATGATGTGCTATAAAGACTTCAAGGGGCAAAAATTTTCACAACGCTTGACTTAGCTAACGGTTTTTCCCACGTATCAATGGAAYTTAGTTCCAAACGGTACACATCTTTCGTAACACACAGTGGACAATTTGAGTTAAATTTCGTACCGTTTGGAATCTCCAATTCGCCCGCTGTTTTTTGCCGATTTATTTCACAATTTTTCGTGATTCAGTTCAAGAGGGAATAGTCGTTATTTACATGGATGACATAATCATTCCAGCGCAAGATTAGGATGACGGGGTGGAAAAGTTGAAAATTGTTTTAAAGAGAGCAGAGAGTTTTGGATTAAAGATAAAGTGCCAAAAGTGCCAATTTCTACTGAAAAGAATACAGTTCCTAGGTAGATAAAGTAAAGGCTGTAAACTCATATTCAATACCTCGTGATAAGAAATCACTGCAAAGGTTTTTAGGCTTAACGTCTTATTTTAGAAGGTTTGTCGAGGAATACGCGGTAGTTGGAAAGCCTTTAAGCGACTTCCTAAGGAAAGACAGCGAATGTAAGTTCACTGTGCTTCATTCTTCTTTTAGCATTTGAGCAGCTCAAATTAGCGCTAGTTAAAGCTCCGGTTTTGAAAATCTACCACCAAAACGCGAAAACTGAAATACATACAGATGAATGCATGTACGGATATGGTGGTGTTCTTTTACAAAAAGATGTTGATGACCAGCAATTGCACCCCATTCAGTATATGAGTCGGAAAGCCAGACCAGAAGAACAAAAGTACCACTCATACGAACTGGAGGTACTCGCGATAATAGAGGCGTTGAAGAAATGGCGAATTTATGTTATGGGAAAGAAAATCAATATCGTTACTGACTGTAATGCTTTCGCGCTAACCATAAAAAAAGAAAGACGTTCCTCTTAGAATAGCATGTTGGGCCATGTACCTTCAAGATTTTGATTATGTTATAGAACACAGGTCCGCGTCAAAAATGAAACATGTTGATGCGCTCAGCAGAATGTCGACTATGCTACTAGAAGATTCATTAAGCTTGCGTTTGAAAGCAGCACAACAAGGCGATGAGTGGGTTAGGGCAGTATGTAAAATTTTGGAAAAATATACTTATGAGGATTTTTATACAAAGATCCAGTTAAGGAGTTGCTGGTAGTTCCACAGGCTATGGAGGAAGAATTATTCGCATGGCTCATCGCCAGGGGCACTGGGGGGCAAGGAAGACGCAGGATTACATAGAAAAAACTTTTTAYATTCCAAATATTGGATCAAAAATTACACAAGTAGTGAAGAACTGCATTGAATGCATTATAGGAGAGGCAAAATTASGCAAAAAAGAGKGATTAYTAACTCCTATAGATAAGGAAGACAAACCACTTGGTACTTACCATTTGGACCACGTTGGCCCAATGGAGTTGACGCATAAAAAGTATAACCATTTGCTTGTTGTAGTGGACGCGTTTAGCAAATTTGTGTGGCTGTACCCAACTAAAAGTACAGACTCTGCATCCGTGGTAGAGAGGATAGAAAAACAGGCATCTATCTTTGGCAATCCTCGTCGAATAATTACAGATCTGTCTCTTATACACATCTAGATGTGTATAAGAGACAGGGCTGTACCCAACTAAAAGTACAGACTCTGCATCCGTGGTAGAGAGGATAGAAAAACAGGCATCTATCTTTGGCAATCCTCGTCGAATAATTACAGATAGGGATACAGCTTTTACGGCGAAATGTTTTGAGGAATATTGCAATAGAGAAGGAATTCAGCACCTCCTTATAGCAACCGGCGTTCCTCGTGGAAACGGGCAGRTCGAACGTATTCACCGCATTATTCTACCGCTTTTAACTAAATTGTGCCACAACAACCCAACAAACTGGTATAAACGCGTTGATAGAGTTCAGCGCTTAATTAATAATTCAACTTCAAAGAGCACGAGCTTCGCACCATTCAAGATACCGACAGGATACTGAGGACAAGATACTGAGTTAGAAACTGAACGTAACCATATTAGAAAACATCTCCAAGATACAAGAGGAGAATAAGAAAACKTTTAACTCCAAAAGAAGACAGGAAACCTCGTATAATATAGGTGACCTAGTAGCAATTAAGAGGAYTCAATATGGTTCGGGTTTAAAAATAGCTAAATTCCTTGGACCGTATAAAATACAACAACGTTAACACACGGGAGATACACTGTTGAGAAAGTAGGCGATCACGAAGGACCGCATWAAACGACAACGGTAGCTGAATTTATGAAGGCTTGGAACCCATCGTTCGGGTCGATCGGTAGTTCAGATGGCCGAATGTAGGAGTGACATATTAACAACATTATAATTACGCTAAAATGCAGCCCTACATACTTAACGCACGCAACTAAAACTTGACGAAACTAGGACGCGACGCTGACTCGACCGAAGACAAACGGACAGTTGCTAGTCAACTTTCAATAAAGACACTTCTAATTGTCCGGAACCTACATATATATATATAAGAAATGTTATATATATATCTTAAAAATACTAGTGGCACTCATTTAATATCGCAAACTTGTTATCGCAAAATATCAGTAAATTTTTACATGCAATTTTTCGTAAATTACAATCAGATGTTTATTCTTTTCTCGCGTTTTGATTTCATCATTTTAAATTGGAAAATGTAAGTACATTTAAATCTAATGTTAAACTATTTTAAACCGAATCAATTAAATATGTATAACAAAAAAGATGACGGAAAAATTAAGAACAGCTTTCGCCTCTTGCCACTATTATAAATTCCACATCAAATGAGTACCCCAAAAATATTTTTAATTATATACAATCTTTATAACTACTTCAAATGGTAAAAAAATCCATCATAACAAATATTACAGAATAAGTTTTACAAGCTTTAAAAACGTATCATATCGCTTTCAACTTGATTTTAAGTCATATTTCGAGTTTTGACAAATTCTTTTGCTATGTGTGAAAAAAATTACCTTATCAGCAGGATTCAATTGAACAAGGTTGTGCCGATAGCCCAAAAACACTAATTCGTCAAAAGTGTTGTAAAATTCGGTTTTTATGATTTTAAAATAAGTTTTTCAAACATTTCAACCAATGAATGTGTGTTTTTTGACTATTAGTTGAAAGCGAATACGTAGTTAATCATATAAAAGTCAAAAAGTAAATAAGATACTCATGAAAAGAACAGAAATATTTTTTTTTTGACATGATGGATTAAATTATTTTTCTGTAATATGAATCACGCTATAAAGTAACATAGCCTTGTATACATAATTGGATCCATTTCATCTGGTGTATCACATTTGTCAGTTTTTCGTCAAAAACCGCTCGTTTTGTGGCACTATAAATTACAAAATATTTTGAATTTTTCTTTCAAAAATATTCATTACGTTGCACAGTGGCATTTCGGCGGAAAAAATAGGATTTTTCCACTTTCTAATTTCAAAATTTTAATGATTTTGTTTTGTAAAGAAATATTTGGATAAGAAAAATTCAACAAGCTTTTTTAAAAAAAGTGAAATTTTATAGTTAAAAAACTAACAGAAGTCGACGGAAAGTTATTCAAATTATTGTCCAAATAAAGAATTTTTTTGTGTGTAAGTTTATAGCTATGGTTTTTCTTCTATTTTTTAGTGAAAACATAGCACCTAATTGTTTATAAAAAAAAATTATTGAAATTGGCACAGTAAGATAATTTTTATAATTTTCAAAAATTATACTAATAAATATCAACTTTTCATTTTTGATGGAAAAAACTTTATGTGCTTTGCCTTGCCTAGCCCTCTTACTATAAAAAAATGAAAGTTCCGAGTCTGTACTTTCAATTAAAAAAAAACAACCGCCAATTACCGTCCCTTTTAGTAACATCGATTTTAATTTCAAAAGTCACTTCCAATATTTCATAAAAATGGTCAATAAGGCAACAAATTAGTATACTTTCAGGCTCTCGTGAATTGAAGCTTGAAACGATTTTTAAGTGAAACATTATTTTTATTTACGAATATGTAGGCGTAACGAAATTGAATGACATTTCAATCGAAATAAAAACATATAGTTTTCACGGCTAAAATATATTAATTTTCATTCAWATACTTATATAKTTTRTATTAATATGAGTACTTTTTCGTTTCTATACAATGAATTAAGCGAGGAGCTTATTAACAGTGATCGCAATGTTGATTTATTGACTGAATACATAAAATCGAGAAATTCAGGTGTAACTGATGAAGATGTTGCATATGTGAAAATAAGTATATCGCAGCGGTTTTTACCTATATTTAATAAAAGGTGGTTTGGGGCATCCCAAAACATTGCTCGTTTTTTTGCAAGTAATTCAGTTTGGCTTACAAGTGAGTTTTCGGGTAACTAGCGCAATAAACTATCTTATTATGTTTTGATAGTGACAAATTTAAATTACATATATACGTCGGACACTGCGAAACTGTTCGTACAAAATTATAGTTGGTTTTATATGCCTGTTACTGTGCACAAAGTACTAATGCATGGTAAGGATATAATGGATGCTGCCGTATTACCAATAGGAATGCTTTCAGAGGAAGCCGAGGAAGCCAGAAACAAAGACTACAGGAAGTATCGATTGATGTTTTCGAGAAAGTGTGATCGAATTTCTACTGATGTCTTCAACATACTTCTTATAACTTCGGATCCTTACATAAGTAGCTTAAGGCGTCATTCGAACAAAATTTCCTTAGAACTAGATCCCATTGTTAAAGATATGGTGCTTGCATAATATTACAAATACAAACTAACACAATTTTTCGCCTGTTACATATTCAATTAAAACATTGCTTATTATATTGAATTTTTATCAAGCTGAAAGGTATAAATAACGTTAAGTTTAATTTTTTTTCATCAGGAAAACTCAATTAAGAAGTCCCGAATTTCAAGTCCCTAGGTCCAAAAATAAAAATTTTGGCAATTGCAGTTATATGGGAGGTGGGTGTGGCAGTGGGCGGTTTTCCAATATTTTTTCAAAATTTCTTAATTTAGTCCAGAGAAGTGTTTCTGCAAAGTTTCATTGCTGTACGACCACTCCTTCTATTTTTTTCCAAGAAATGTATGGAGCGGTGCCACTGTGCGCTGTAGATATAAGGCAAGAATAGTAAAGAAGCTAAGAAACGGATGTTGAATCCATTTATAAACATTTTACAGACCCACGGAAATGCTTTAGATGTCTTAAATGTTTTCATATTGCGGGAGTATTTAAATAATGAAAATTGTTATAATCTGGATTGCCTGCCTACATTATTGTCATTGGTTTTTGTAGGCTGTCCGTATCGCTTTGTCTCCAGATTCCTTTGACTTTGTTCGATTTAGGCAACCTACAAATAAATTTAATGCTTACTTCTTATATCATTTAATATAATCCAAATATCTTTACCCATATCGGTGTATAATATATTTCGATTATGTATCATATTTAGAAGTGATTTATAATTCCAAAAGGCGAAAAAATTCAATTTTTGTTTTTAGACCAGTGTTGTGTACCAAGTTCAGCAGAACATTTTATACTCTCGCAATGAGTTTTAGGTGACAGTAAAACTTTATACTACAGAATTAAGGACGATATGCCACGTACTAAAAACATGTTCCTGGGTTTCATTAGGGCATCCCACATACAATCACCAATTATGTGGAGTAAAATCAGCCAAATGTTCGAAAATTCTGGTATGAGTACTATAGGGGCTAGGTCAAGTTTACGACCAAATTTATCAATTTTACTCAAAACTATACACTTTGATGAATAAAATACGCTCTCCCATATTTATTGTGATAACTCACATTTTGGCCGATATATGTGATAAAACTGAACTATAGATACTGAATCCAAATTTCCGGTATTTGAGGCTTGACAACTTTTGGTTGAATTTGGCAAATTTGTGGTCATAAAGTGGCGTACTTTAAAAGAATTATTAGTGCAAAATCGCACTGTGCTCTGAGATATAAGATATGTAAGAAGAATTTAGTCGAAATCTGTCCTTTGGGTAGGGGTGCTTAATAGTATGGGAACCTGGAGTGCTAAATTTGCAGTTACTGGAGCGTCATGGAGACTTACTAGATTGTCAAGATAACGTTTAAAAAAAGARAAAGTCTAGGTCAAGTTTTTCATTTTAGTGGGGAGAAGAGCGGGTGATTAATTTCAAAAATGTAAAAAAAACAGTCACATAAAAAGAGTTAATGAATTAGCCCCCACTGAATTAAGCCCCACCGGGCAAAATTACTTAAGCCCCACCAATTTCTCAGTGAATCTTTGATTGATGAATCGAAATGAAGTAAGCCCCACCAAACGTGGGAGGTCTTACATGACAGAATCCCCACGAAAAAAAAGGAATTAATCCCCACGCAAATGACTTTAGCCCCACTTTACTTAATTTTTTATTTATTTTGCTTGCTTTCATGTATGTAATATTTAAAAAGAAAAAGGTAAAGAATTAAATGAAAATATGAAAAATGTGAGGAAAAGAAAATAATTAAATAAAAATATGTAAATATTCGTCAACATCTTGACGACAAAAGGGGCATTTAAATTTATTAAAATTGTTTGCCACACTTTCTGCTTCTATTTTAGATGTGCAGTCACTGCCCAATTTTAAATGTTTACATGGCAAAAGAAAAATATTAGGTTTGTTTTCCAAACAAATTATGCATATCAGTGGAGGATTTGCTGCACCTTCTTAAGTGGCATTGGATTCTTCTTCGATTTCAAACTATTCAAAAACACCCTTGCACTGTGATTTAACCTTTCGTAAAAGGAAAAATTCCCTTCTATTATTTTATAATTTACAAAATTATGGTTTCTCTTTTTACGAAATGTGCACTAATAGTGATTTTAACCTTTCGTAAAAGGAAAACTCTTTGACAATTCAATCTTAATAGAGTGATTATTAAAAACAGTTCTGCGTATTCTGTATAAAAATTAATATAGAAAATTGAAACAAATAGAGAATAATCGTATAAACGCAAGGAAGGTCTTACTAAATAAAAGCGATACTATAAACTTTTCTCATGTTCCTGGATTTATAATTGATTCTTTTTTTGGAAAAAAAAAAAGAAATTAAATAAAATTTGAAAAGTATTATATTTTTACGTTGCTAACTGTTTGTTTTATTTTAATAAAAGATCASGGAATTAAAATGAATTATACCCCACGAAAATTCTTTTATCCCTACCAATCAAAATGAATTAAGTAACCACAAAAAAAAAAGAATTATTCCCCACGAAAATAACTTTAGCCCCACTTTCCGCCATTTTTAATTTTGTTGTAAAATTGGTGGGGCTTAAGTCATTTTGCCGGGTTAATTCAGTGGTTGCTAATTCATACACTCACATAAAAATACTCAAGCGCGTCAGTCATTTATGGTATATACGCGCATTGTATTTCTGATATTTGATATATATTAATCTGACAATCAATTCAAGGCGAAGGGCCTTAATGAGAGGTTAAAAACAAAAAAAAGCTACTCGTGCGTGTCAGATTTTCAAAGCGAATGTTAATGAACCTCTACAAAGTATGCCATTTTAATTTCTGATAATTTCGACGTGGCCAAAAGTCATGACTGATTTTAAAACTTGTTAATCTGACGATTTAAAAGTGGAAGAATTCTGTTTGGTTCTTGTTTTTGTTACAGGATGTAATAAAAACAGTGTATATATATATATATATGTATATGAAGACACAATAAAAAAACAAAAGTGTCAAGCGTCTACTAACAACAACCACGCTATGCTGATCATCTGAGATGGCATCATGGCGGCAGACACTAGTATGAGGACGGTGCGACAGTGAGAAACAAACAAAAGTGTCAAGCATCTACCAACAACAACCACGCTATGGTGATCAGTACGGTTGACCTTTTGTCGACGATTTTACCTGAATCGCCCTATGGAAACTGTCAGATTATAGGATTTTCGTGATTCTGACAGAATTACCTTTAAAATGAAAAATCTATCGCGCTCGAGTATTTTAAGGTGACGATTTTTTTTTACAGATTTGTCACCCTGATATTTCTCTAAGTCACCCTCAAACTGTTAAAATATTGAAATATATACTCGTTTTCATGTATTTAATTTACCATTCTTAATCTGACGCGCTCGAGTTTTCCGAAGGATCGATTTTTTTCTCTAATCTGACGAACTCCCCCCAACGCACGCCGCCATCTTAAGGGCTCATATTTGGTAGGGCTACTAAAAAATATGCAACGTTTCTCCCCATAAATCTTTCTGACACGCTTTAGTAACTGCAAAAATCCCCTCTTCGGCTCTCCTGCTATAAGGGATTGTAGCTTTAGTGCCAGCGGTCTGATTACACCCATCTACGAACTCCGTCTTACTTTTTTGCGATGGAACATAGTTATTAAGTTTCATCAAGATATCTTCATTTTTACTCAAGCAAGAGCTTGCCCAAACAGACGGATGGACATACAGACAGTCACTCGGAATTCAACTTATCGCGTCATCCTAATCCCTATATCTATCTCGCTTAGACAGGTGGTGAAAAACTATTATCCTCTGTAGCTACAGGTTGCAAGAGTATAAAAATGTTGTGAAAGAGTTTAAGACTTATAACTCAACGAAAAAGTGAAATGAGTTCAAACTATAGATTGACTTACCAGATTTACTCGTATTACTCAATTTTGCTTCATGACCTAGAAATTTTTATTAAAATCAACCGATTAATGAACTAAAGGGGTTCAATTTGATATATTATGCAATTTACGGTGAATTCGATCAAATATTTAGACCAATTTTATTCATATGAACTTAATATACATATATTTTATTTACTTTTATAGGTATTTTGAGTTTCGCATTTGCTCACAACCACATGCGCAGCAGGAGTGTTTCGATCAACATTTATTGAAAGTACAGTCAGGATTTCCGAGTCAATCAATATCAACTGATCTTGAAACTAGATTTTATCCGAGAAATGGCAGTTTAATATATAATGTTAAAGTCCAACTTCCTAAAGGTAATGATGCCAAAACCTAAATAAATTTAAATTTTGAACTAGTTATATTCCTCGATAGGTCTGAACTGTAATCATTGTGTGTTGCAATGGCGTTATATAGCTGGTAATAACTGGGGTATTTGTCCGGATGGAAATGGTGCTGTAGGCTGTGGACCACAAGAAGAGTTTCGCGCCTGCTCTGACATCGTTATAAATGATCACGAATACAAACCCGATTCTCCGTCCGAACCAAGGGCAACAGAAAGTCCAAAACACGGACAGACACAAACCAAAGAACATTTCGATCAATTTAGTTATATCAAATTGATAATTTCATTAATTTTGCTAGTAATTTTCTTTATAACAGTAGGCGTTGGGGTTTGGTTTAGAGCGACAATTACACGTTATGTCAAAACCAATTTATATACCAGACTACGGAAAGCCCGCCCTTTCTCATTAAGTAATATTGCATCGAAGCCGGAACCATCTTTAAGGACTATCTCGTCTTCTATGGAAGGTAAAACTTTAAATTCTGCTGAAATTAAGTGTGGTTTGACGCCACCAATACCGCCACCAAGATCAAAAAGAAACCTTCATCTTGAGAATAATCACTTGTTTGCTCAATCTTCAAATTTAGAAATATAAAAATTAAATAAAGTATATTATTTATAAAATAAAGTTAAATGATGTATAATCAAAATATTAAATCTTCAATAATGACAAATTTTTCAGTTTATTATGTGATGGTGATCTCAAATATATGTATTTGCTCGTGATAAAAGAATACACCGCAAAATTTAGTTATTAAAGATATGTGATTTGTTTGTTTTAATTTTTTGGGAACTTAAAGATATCAGAATAAGTTAAAAACTGGCAACATTTCATGCCTTATAAAAACAAAAGTTTTAGTCGAAGCCTTATGACTTAAGACTGAATCAATTCAACAAAGAAAAAAAAACTTATATTTGTAGCATGAACAGAAGTTGATTGAAATTATTGTAGTAAATAGTATTGTAACACTGGTCCAGGGAAAATATTAAATATATACTGTTTAAGTATTCCTTACATATTTTCAATTGTCTTACGAAAAGCAGTGCGATAACAAAACAAGGGTGATCGTTTACCTCCAAGGGTAGTAGATTGAAAATTTAATTATTTTGAGAACTGATCCACTTTATTCCTTATATTAACGTTACCATTCGCCAAAAAATTTTAAAGCATTTTTTTATTAGTTAGAAATTACAGTAAGATCCGATTTATCCCAATAAATATTTAGTACATACCGTTTAACATATTTGTAATTAATTTTCCTGCCAACCACGGCTACCCGCTTGTGTCAAATATTTCAATACAACTGTACATTTTTTCTCTATGCACTGACACCAAGGCACATTTTCGGGTTATTTTTTGTTTAATTAAATGCGATGAAAAAAAGTTTCTTTCATTTCTTGATTTATTTGAATGAGTGTGAAGGAGAAAACATAATTGTCAATAGTGCCAAAAGAAAATCCCGAAAAGGGTAATAAAAAACGATTGAAAGACGCATGTCGCTCGTATAACAAGAAGTAAGTAAGTGAATTTTATGTGATTTTTTTTTTAATAATTTGCAAATAGTTACTTCATTTGTTTTTATAGAATTTTAAATCCGAATGAACTGGAAAAAGCAACAGAAGCAGCATATAACAATTGTTAAGTAAGTATGTGAAAATATAATACGTAAATATATACGTACATACATATGTACATACATACATATGTATTTTATGCGTTTAAGGCGGCCTGCACAATCCAATATAATGATAATATATAATATGTGAAAACAAATGTTTGTTTTAAATTCTAAATTATCAAATAATATTTATCTTTTCTTTCAGATATTATTATCATTTT